CTGTGGTAGTTCGAAGAAAAAGGTTGTTCGAATATCGGACGAAGTCGAGGAACAAGAGTATTATATAGATGATTATGAAGAATATGAAAGACAAGAAGAAGAAGAAGAAGAAGGAGGTCGTTTTTATGGTGGTGGGCTTACTGAAGAACAAAAACGTATTTTGGACTTGGTAGATCAGGTTGATGTTGAAGAGGTGGGCCGCGATATTTTCGCGTTTGTATAATATTACTTTTATACAATTGATTTCGATTTATTTCTTAATTAACGTCTAAAATGATTTAATTCCCAAGCCAGAAGCTTTAGATGTCGCAGGCGTTCGTAAAATGATTCTTAAACTTGAAAAAGCTATAACCAAGAATCAAGAACTTCGCGTCAAATTCAGCGATGATCCAACAAAGTAAATGATGCTCCTTTATGGCATATTATTAGAAAATGTATATAGTATTCTTCTTGTTGGATTTATTTTATAATTCTTATAACAACGACATTACAGGTTCATGGAATCTGAAGCAGATCTTGATGAAGGGATCAAACATCTACTGACACTTACCGAAGTACCTGATTTATATTCTCAAGTTGTTCAAATGGGTGCCATACCATCTATTGTTTCACTTTTGAGTCATGAGAATACAGATATTGCTATAGACGTTGTAGAATTATTAAATGAATTGACAGATGAGGACGTAGTTGCAGAAAATGATGAAGATGCTATGAAAGTTTTTATTGACTCTTTGGTAACATAAGGCTTTAATCAAATGGGCTGCCGTCAATAGAAATCAGATAGATTGGCGTTTAAAAAAAAATTAATGCCTTTTATAGCCCATATTTCGATGAATTTTGAAGTTATTTTGATGATTGAATAGGACTATTAAATCATCAAAATAGCTTCAAAAATTCATCGAAATATGGGCTATAAAATTTAAGGTATTGATTTTTTTTAAAAGTCAATCTGCCTGATTTCTATTGACGGCAGCCTAAATGTTATGTTTAGGCTTAATTGCATTTATATAAATATTTATTAGCGGATGCATGTATACTTTCATTCTATTAAAGCTTGAAAACCAAATACTGGAACTTCTGATCCAGAATCTTAGTAGATTAAATGAGGAAGAATCAAATGATAAACAAGGCATTTTCAATACACTGGGTATGTGTTATTTGAAATTAATATTACCTATTCTGGAATCAAATATAGTACAGGTGATCCCTATTATAAATTGATTTTGATTAATGGAGCCACTTATATTATATTTGATCCACTATTCTGTTATTGCTAGCAAATAATTATTATACTAAAAATATGTATGTCGAATTAGGTATAATTGAAAATTTTACGTCATTTGACCCAACATTATCAGAGAAACTTGTACAAGACACCAATATATTACAATGGATACTGACGAGAATCAAAGTCAAATCATTTGATTCTAATAAACAGTATTGTAGTGAAATATTAGCAATTTTATTACAAAGTAGTCGAGGTATGCTATAAATTTTTTTTTTGATGTAATTATTATTTATCAACACTTTACTACA